CCGCGCCGGAACTCTCGAGACCCTCGGCTACTCCAGCCTGAGAACTCTCCAAGCCCGTGGGACCTTCCTACCCTGTGGGGGGCCACAGGGGTCCACCTCCAAAAGCCAGCCCCGGCCCCTGAAAACTAACCCCTGAGCTCCACCTATCCCCAGCTCTCCTCTCCAGGGGAGCCCAGGTCGGGGCCTGACCTCACGCCTACCCCACACTCACTCATCGGAGGAGCCCAGGCCCCTGTACTCCCCGGCCCTGGGCCTGCCATCCCGAAGGGGCATAACCCAGCGCATCACAGCCCCCATCCTTCTCCCACCCTTCCTGCTCCCATGGCCTCTTGCTCTCTCAAACCCCACCCCCAAATTCCAACACTTTCTCCATCTGTCCCCCTACTGCCCACCTTATCTGCAAATGGTTCCTACCCTACAACTTAAAGGAGGAGCCAGCTGCCCCCTTTCTTTGATTCTTCTTCCCTGGTCCTGGGGTCCTGTCCACTTTCTCTCCCAGGACACCCAAAGCCCTGCTTCCAGTTAAATGCTTTCTGTCACTGCAGAGGGGCACGAGCAGAGCCTGGGCACCTGGGTGATGTGGGTAGAGCAGGGCCTCTGTGCAGTCTCCCTGTCCCCAGCCGTGGGTGCGTGGCAGTTGCCAGGAGACTTGGATGGAGCGTTTCAGGTGTAGGGGGCTGAGAGTCAAGGGCAGTGACAAGCCTGGCAGGATTCACAGCAGCAGTTCGAGGCTGGGCTTATTTATTTAGTGCAGATTCCTTTCTTGCCCCTTTTAGGGGATGTGGCTCCCGTGCAGGCCATTCCTGTCCCCCACCTGGGATGGGTCTCAGGAGCTGTGCCCCCTCCCGCCCAGTTGCCTGCCCCTCTGAGCCTGGGCACTGGCTACTTCTAGCTCTTCCCTCTCAGGCAGGGCAGCAGAGCTGGGCATGACCTCATCCAACAACCGAGGCCAAGGTGGGGCCACCTGGCCAGGCCTGGACACAGTGTCAGCAGTGCTGTCTCCTCCCCGGATCAGCTTTGAACCAAACTGTGGGTCTGGGGCCCAGGGAGATGGGAACCCACTGCTGCTCACACATCTCTGGAAGTTGAGCTGGGTCTGACCAGGTGGATATTGATGGTGGTGGGAGAAAGGATGAGGAGAACAAGTCCTGGAAATAATTATGTTTTCAGTCCCCAAATACCGAGCACCTACGCCCCTCTAGGCACCATTCTAGGTGCTGGGATGGAGCCATTAACTAGACAGACACGGCCTAGCCATCGGGAAGCTGACATTCTAGTGCGGTGAAGGAGACAGGGAGTGGCCGAGGAGCACATCAGCAGATGAAGAGGCAAACCCTATAGTGATATAGGGGGACAGTGAAACTGGGTGTTGCGATAGAGGCTGATTGGGGAGCTCCTTTGGCCAGCATGGTCTGTGAAGACCTCTCTGAAGTGACGGTCTTTGAGCTGAGACCTGAATGATGCAGTAGAATGAACCTTGGACCATCTGAGGGAATAGAGTTTTAGGCAGGGAACAGCAAGTGCAGTGATCCTGCGTGGGTAGGAGTTAGGCATGTTGAAGAACAGAAAGAAGGCCAACCCCGGGGGAGATGAGGCTGGACGGGTGGGCAGGCAACCTGGAGAGAGCGGAGTGGCAGTGGTGTGGAGACACAGCACCACTTTCCTAACTGGAGGGCTGTTCAGATGTCCTCTCCTCCCGCCAGTCTTCTCTGCCCAGTTCGTTTTTTTTTAAATAATTAATTATTTATTTTTGGGTGCATTGGGTCTTCGTTGCTGTGTGCGGCTTTCTCTAGTTGCGGTGAGCGGGGGCTACTCTTCGTTGCGGTGCGCGGGCTTCTCATTGCGGTGGCTTCTCTTGTTGTGGAGCACGGGCTCTAGGCGCATGGGCTTCAGTAGTTGTGGCTCGTGGGCTCTAGAGCGCAGGCTCAGTAATTGTGGCTCATGGGCTTATTTGCTCCACAGCATGTGTGATCTTCCCGGACCAGGGCTCGAACCCGTGTCCCCAGCATTGGCAGGCGGATTCTTAACCACTGCGCCACCAGTGAACCCCACCCCCACCCCGTTGGTTTTTGATCTGTCTTCGCCACCCGTCTTGGGACCTGCAGTGTTTCAGGTGGTGGTTGCTTGTGGGGATTTGCATAGGTGGAGGTCAGGGGTGGGGCCGTCTGGGGAGGGGATGACCTCCTCCTGGCCCCCGATAATAATCACACAGGGGTAGGGAGGACCAGGCAGGGGATGGGAAATGACCCTCACGCCAGAGAGAATCCCGCCAATGGGATCTTTGCGGGGGGTGGAGACAGCGAGCCGTCAGTGAGACGGTGTCCAAGTGTCCAGGTAGGGCTGTCCCTGAAGCCCCGATAAGATCCGATCTGTCATGGGGTGGGGAGGCCCAGCCAGGCAGGCAGCCGCTCCCGCTCAGTCACTGGTTGCCAACAGCAGTGGGTAGCGTTTGTTCTGGAGCCAAAGCCTCCAGGCAGAATCGAGGTGCAGGGAGGGGTGTTAGACGGCTGCCACATTGGGCAGGTGAGCAGGGGGCCGCTCCCCACCCCTCTGCTGGGCACCAGGGAGTCTCATGCCCCCTCCGCACAGGACACCTGCCCTTCCTGGGAGAGGGGGGCTCCTCCTCTTTCTGGAGGAGCCAGCGGTGGCCTGGTCCAGGGCGGGGACGATCTCTGGTTGAGCAGCTGCTTCGATGCCGGGTTGGGAGGAGGAACGGGGGTCCCTGCTCCCTACCGCAGTGCTGAGGGGGCTGCTAGGCGTCCTGCGTAGCCCCTCTGGGTGCTCAGAGCTAACCTTGCACACCTGAGACCCCAGGCCCTCTCCAGTTAGCGGGGCCTTTTCCCCTGCTCTAGGCTCCTGAGAAGCAGAGCTGGTGGTTGTTCAGGAGTGATGGGGAAAGTGGCCCCAGGTGCAGCAGGGCGGGGGCTGCCTTCCCAGTTCCTGGCCTGCTGAGCTCAGCTGCTCCCCGTGCCTTGATGCCTCATTGGGGCTCAGCTGCTCTCCGTGCCTTGATGCCTCACTGGGTCCGCACAGGCTCAGCCCGGGGCCATTGCCGTTGCTTAACACACTGCAGTCCCTTTGGGGCATGGGTTGGCTCTGGGTGCCCCCTCTCACCTTGTCCCCATTGCCCATCAAATTTGTGAGTCTACCTATTGGCTCTTCCCCCTCTCTCCCTCCTCCCCAACTCCCCTTTGCTCTACCACTTTGGGCCCCAGCGTGGGTCTTGCTCTTGCATATTCATTAGGGACTGAGTAAGGTCAGCACCACCTGTGACTCCAGGCCGGTGTGGGCTGCCAGGCCCTTTGACACCCAGGCTTCCCCTGGAAGGTTGCTCTTCCCAGTGGTTTGTCTCTGTGGGTTTATTTCTAGGGCATGGGGTGTGGGACTGTGGACAGACATGGCACAGGTGCTCCTGAGAGCTTGGTGATGGCAGTCACTCAAGGGGTGCTGCTGAGAAGGTAACTGGTGGAGCCAGGAAGGAGCAGGCCTGCACTGGGCAGGTGGAAGGCTGAGTTAGGGTGCTTTCACAGCCCTCGGCTGGGCAGCAGCTCTCGCAATAAAAACAGCCCTTGGGGTTTTCAAGGCAGAAGCTCTGGGTCCAACGTGGGCAGGCAGGTGCCTCATAGATTCATTTCCTCATTTAAAATAGGTGGATTTATCCTCATTTTTTTTTTAACTGATGGGGAAATTGAGGCGCTGAGGAGTTAAGTGGCTTAAGCAGGACCACCTGCCAGTTCGATTCATGTTCCTGGCTGGGCCACATCTATGGCTGCCTTGGATGAACCCAGGGGCCTTGCTGTAGGTGTGTTCTGAAAGGGGCCTTCCACGCTGTGGACCCTCAGCCAGTAGCCAGCCAGCTGGCATCTTGGAGGGGGCTTTTACGGAGCTGGTCCTCGCTGTGGGGACAAGGCAGCCCCAGGTGGTGGAGGCAGAGCTGGGAAAACCTACTCTTCTTTGAGTGCCAGCACCCAGGTATGGCAAGGATGTTGGGGGTCAGTACTAGGGAGGGTACCCCACGCTAGACCTTATAGGAGGAAAGCAGACCACTTGGGTGTGGAAGGGTCTTGGCCCCCAGAGAGCTGGGAGAGAGCGAGTGGATGGGCAGGGAGGCCACTGAGGGGTGCTGAAGAGGCTCTTGGGGTACAAGGGGCATAGGGAGCACTACCGTCTGTCCCTCTGCCTGTTTTCGTGTGCTCACTGGGGTAGTCACATCTATTCCTTGTTAGGGACTCGACAGGCCTCCAGAAGATTAATTAATGCCAAGCTGCTGGCAGCTCCAGCAGGATGCTTGCCCCAGGGCCCTGTCCTGGCAGCACAGATGCCCAGCTGACCCCAGAAATACTGCTCCGTTCCCACCCAGCAATCCTGGAGACACGGGGGGCCATGTTGCTGGCACAGCCCTGCCTCTGAGCCTGGATGGCAGAGAAGGCTTAGGTGATGGCAGGCCGCCAGAGCCATGTGGCAGGGCATTCCACCCGCAGGCCTGCCTCCATCACCCACTCTGGAACTTATTTGTCCCTGGCTGAACCATGGGCTTGCTGTGTGACCTTGGCTGTGCTGCTTATCCCCTCTGGGCAGCTTTCTTTTCCCCAACTGTAAAATGATGTAGAATGGATGTTGGACTGGGTCATCACTGAGACACCTCCCCCCTAAGTCTGAGTCTTCGTTATCTGGTAATCTGCCTGATTCTGAGAGCGCCTGACGGCACCCCTTTTCCCGATGCATATTGGCTGCCCCTTGGTGCCCCTCAGTGTGGTCCAGCTTTGTCCTCTGCCCCAAGCCCAGGTGATTGCTAGTTCTCCATGTAATTAACTCCTGCCTGTGCTCAGGATGTGGGGCACCGCAAGTTCTGGCCAGACCCAGTGCCCTAACAGACCAGCCTGACCTTCCCAGCGCCAGGGCGAGGTGACTGCTTCCACAGTGGCCACCTCCAGCCTGCCCAGCACATTCCTCAGGCTTATCTGAGAGCCCGCCCCACTGGACTCTGTCCTCCCACCCAGGAAGCAGCACCCAGACGAGCTGCTGAAGAGTTCCAGGGGCAGAGAGCAGGGCCTGAGTGGGCTTGAGGTGACGATTCTCAGCCTCTTGCCTGGAGCTGAGGAGAACCAGGTATAGAACGGGGTGGGGCAGAGGGACTGGGGGGTCTGCTGAGACTGACAAGGCAAGTTGTCTAACCTCGGGGAGCGTGGGTCCCAGAATCTGTGCCATCTCCCAAGAGCCCCATCTCTGGGAAGGCTTTCCCTCGTGGAGCCTCCTGTGCACAGGAGGGGGGCTTGCTCTAAGTCTACCCCTAAGTTGTAGCAGGAGATAGGGCCCGACAGCAGCTCCTTTCCTCTGCCCGCACCTCCACAGCGGGAGCCGGAGCCAGTCCTCCCAGGAAGGGGTTAACCGCCAGCCCCAGCCGTGAGGGAGGGGACTGGGCTGGACCATTTTCCTCGTAGCTGCCTCCACCTCGGTTTTCCTGAATGGTTCTGTCGTCCTGGGGTGGGGAGGGAAGGGAAGGAAGAAGGGCGGGCTGAGGGAGGAAGGGAGGGAGGAGTGTGGGAAGAGGAAGGAAGAAAGAGCGAGACAGCCAGGGGAAGAGAAAGATGTCACTGTGTAATCTCCCTGTCAGTTTTACTTCCAGCAGGCTCCGGGCGAAAGAGCTGCTAGAACAATGCTGAGGCAGCCCCGACGGAGTATCTCGAACAGGTGATCAGAGGAGCCGGGAAACCGAGGCCACCTGGGCATCCCTCCCCTCGCCTGGGCCGGCCAGAGCCTCAAAGACGGTGGAGAAACCATGGCGACCAATTTCAACGACATCGTCAAGCAGGGCTACGTGAAGATGAAGAGCAGGAAGCTCGGGGTGAGCCACCTCCAGGGGGCCCTGCCAAGGAACTTGGTCTGGCGCCTGGTGGCGTGTCCGGGGTGTGCGGCTGCCCGCCTGTGGCCCAGCATCGTGCATTGCTGGTCTCGAGGCTTCTGGCCAGCGGGCTGCCCAGCATGTGCCTGGGCCCGGCTCTGCCTGCTGCAGCTCCCGCCCCAGCCGGGCTGGCTGGCTGGCATCCCAGCGGCTGGGCCAGCGGTGGCAGCCGATGGGCAGGCGGCTCCCCTGCTATTGTTGAAGTTGTCGCCAGGGCAGCGGCTGGAAATGCCGGGCTGTGTCCGAGCTGAGACCGGCTTCTCACTTCCCCTTGCCATCACCTCCTCGTTTCCTTCCTCCCCTCTCCTGGCCTCTTTGCTTTTAAGTACCTCATCTCCCCTGCTTCCCATTGCTTTCTGTGTACAGGCGTTTATTTATTTATCTTTGGTGGTTGCTTTTCCAGTTAAAAAAAGCATTTGAGAAGAAGAGTGGTTGGTTGCTGGGGGGAGGGCAGTGGTGGGAGGGGTGCAGAAGCCAGTGTTTACGTGGCTTATGAGAGAGAACCTGGCTGGGCTGGATGGCCCGTGGCACTGGGACAGGCTGCTTTCCTCCCAGGTGTTGGAGGTGGCTGGGGGCTTGGAGGGCCTGTGGAGATGAGGCCTCAGACACACCTCTGCTGGGTGTGCACCCTCTCCCATCCCGTACTGCTGGAAACCGCCCAAAAGGCATGAGCAGGGGCCCCGGGGACCAATTTAATAATCTTGGTGAGATTGTCCCGAGAGCGGTCTTTATTCCCGGACCCTCCTCCCTCCTCCAGTGAGGGGTCTCCCCGGTAGAAAGGAAACCCTGACGACTGAGGTGGCCCAAGTCTTGTGTTTTACCTGGGTCCCCTGCCCTTCCGTTCCCCCCTCCCCCATGGCCTTGATGGGGTGGGGGGATCCGACCGCTCAAGGCTTCCTGGTTCAGCTGAGTAGGGTGGGGGAGGAGCAGGGCTCTGATACTCAGCTTCCCTGCCTGCGAACCAGACAGAGCAGGACTGGCCTTGGAGCAGGGCGGTTCCTGCACCTCCTTCCCCTCCTGTGCCCTCAACCCCCAGGGCCCCTGCGGGAGGCTCTTCTGTCCCGGCAGGAGGCGGCCGCTTAGCTGGTGGGCATGTTTGGGGTCTTAACTGGATTTGGACTGTATCCCAACCTGGGCCGTGGTGGCCATCGGCCACCTTGTTCTTGCCCTGAGAGAAGGATGGAGCCCACTTTGCGCACAGAACAAGGAGAAGAACTAAGGCTGAGGTGGGGAGGCAAGGGGGTGGGGGCCCAGGTTCTAGTGTGGTGACTCGTTCCTGAGGGCCCAGACCTGTCAGGTCCCCAGGGGCCAGCTGGGCTGTGACCCTGTCCAGAGCAGAGCTTCCCAGGAAGGCAAGCCACTTGGGGTGGCCGCTTGGGCTCAGAACCAGGCCTGTTCCAGGGGCAGGCCTGGGAACCCATGGTGGGCACAGTCAGGGGGAGGGTTTAGGGGCTGGGGCGTGGCCAGGCCCAGTCTGGAATCGCCCGCACTCAGGGAACCCGGCATCCCCCTGCAGACCTGCTGTGAGGGGCTGCGGCCACCCAGCTGCTCTTGTCCCGGGGCAGCCATTCTTGCCTCAGCCCACAGAGGCGAGGCGGTAAGGGCTGGAAGAGATCAGGAGCAGATCGTCCTACCTGCCAGGGCTTTCCTCCCAAGGCAGAGCTCTGGCAGAGTGTTTCCGAAGCGCTGATCAAAGACCTATGAGAAGTGGGGAAGGAGGGCTCTTGAGCGCAGTGGCTCCCTGGGGCTCTGTGTGTGCGTGCTGCGTGTGCGTGCTGCGTGTGTGTGTGTGTGTGTGTGTGTGTGTGTGTGTGTCCTGTAACCAGGCAACCGGAGTGCTCAGGCCCCCAGGACTTCTGCCCCTGCCTCTGCAGACGGCATGGAGCCCATCCTGGCAGGGCATATCTGGGTCGGCAGCATTCGTGCATTCATCCATCAATCCATCCATTCATTCACGGTCCCTTCATATTATCATTCACTTGTTCAGCAGAGGTCTGTTAATGAAGCGACTGGGATGTGAGGATTCTGAGAATAAGATATAGTCTCTGCCCTAAAGGAGCTCCCCAGCTGAGAGCTGAGGCCTGCTGGGGTTTAGGTGGATAGACCAGGGGCTGAGCCAGGGTCATGGGGGCAGGGACAGACATGTCTCCTAGTCTCAGGGGCCAGAAATAGCCTGGTTGTGAGTAGCTTCTTGGGATGGGGACTGCCTGAGCCCACTGCACCCCGGGATCCTGCCTGCCGAGGACCTGGTACCCACACAGCAGGGCAGAGAAGGGGAGGGGGCTTGAGCCTGTGGCCCAGAGGCCCCTTCGCCTCCTCTGCTCTGGGCCCCTCAGTCTCCCCACTGTTTGCCAGTGAGAGGAGCACTGGAGATTCCCGGGGAATGGCTCTGCCAGGCTTCTGGAGTGCTTGCTGAAAGAGGAGGTACATCCCAGCCAGACTTTGGGCTGGAAGAGAGCCTAAGGTGGGAGGGAGGGGGCCATGGGAGGAAGAGTCAGCAGCCCAGGCAGGTGGCTAGGGCCACCCCTTTGTGGGGGGTTGTCTGACAAGCCAGCTTGCCCCTTAGCCCCGGAGAGTGGTTGGCTTCCTGCTCCCTGGCTCTTGCCTCTTGGATGGAGTCCGTGAAGCTACAGAGAATTGGGGTGGATTTAGGTACGGGCAGTGGTTGGGACAAGGAGGGAACCTTGCCCGGGAAGGCACCGTGCTCTGGGGTAACCCCAGTTTCTTGGCTCTGCCCCTTGACCTCTGAGAGCCTCTGGTTTCCCAGCTGGAACAGGGAACTAACCCTGATTCCCTACACTCCAGGGTTGGTCAGAGAATGAAAAGAGAGGGTTAGTGAAAGGTCCTAGAGACAAGAGGGGGTGTTACCCACATCAAGAGCCCTCCCCCGGCTCTAAGAACAAGGGCCACGGTGCTGTGCAGGCTGGGACCGGGCAAGGGCCTAATCCCTGTCCCCGCAGCACTGCCTCTGTCGTGGCGGGTGCTCCTGCGGCCCTGGGCAGAACCTTAGCGCAGCGGGCTCCCAGGACAGCCCTGGTTCTAGGCAGCCTGTTTTAAATACCAGCTCTACCATTCATTAGCTGTTACTCAATTTTGGGGTGCCTCATTCCCTGTCTAATAAAGTGGAGATGATAATAGAAGCGACCTCAAGAGTGACCCTGAGATTAAATGTGAAGAGTGCTAATAACAAAAAGTACAAATAGGAAGCACTCCACAAATGTTGGCTACTTACGTTAAACCCAGAGCTGAGCTCATAGTAAACAGTAACTCAGGAGCACCCTTTATGGAACAGCCTTTCAGAGCCAGCCAAGAAATGACTGACTTTTCAATTTCGGGGAGGGTCCTCTTCCCCAGGGCAGGGTGTCATGCTGGTGTCAGCTGTCCCCAGATCTCTTGGGCCTGAGCTCCCTGGAAGGCTGTGCGGCACTGCCCGCTGTGGTAGGCAGGGGTAACTCCAGGGTCACCGGCTGCTTTGGGAGTGGTCCAGGGTCTGATCCCCCTGCCATCTTGTCCCACAGATCTACCGGAGGTGCTGGCTGGTGTTCCGGAAATCCTCCAGCAAGGGGCCCCAGCGGCTGGAGAAGTATCCAGATGAGAAGTCAGTGTGCCTCCGAGGCTGCCCCAAGGTTAGGGGGCCCGGGCCCTAGCTCTCCCAACCTGTAAGCAGTGAGGATTTGTTCAGAGTCCTGAGGGCCAAGAGGACCCTCCTGGGGGTGGCAGAGCCGTGGGGGATGCAGAGGGAGGTGCTTCAACCTGGCCGAGTACCTTGTGGATGCTGTTCCAGGTGACAGAGATCAGCAACGTCAAGTGTGTCACACGGCTCCCCAAGGAGACCAAGAGACAGGCAGTGGCCATCATATTCACCGACGACTCGGCACGTACCTTCACCTGCGACTCAGGTGAGGGGATGCGGCTGCAGGCTGTGGGCTGGTCAAGGTCCAGTTGGTAGGAGGCAGAGCAAAGGCTTGCCCTGCCTGGGTATGATGTGTGGGTGGAGGGCACCTTTGAGGGAGCAGCCCCAGGATGAGGTGGGGCAGGCACGCAGAACCCACTGGCCTTGCCCTCTCTGCCTGGCGGGGTGGGATAACTCCGGCTGAAGCAGATGGGGTGGGTTGCTGCGGGCCCCTGAGCTGGCAGCACGAAGAGGGACTGTCTTCTCCAGAGCTGGAGGCAGAGGAGTGGTACAAGACTCTCTCTGTGGAGTGCCTGGGGTCGAGGCTCAACGACATCAGTCTGGGAGAGCCGGACCTCCTGGCCCCAGGAGTGCAGTGCGAGCAGACAGGTGAGGCCTGGTGCTGGCACGGGGTGGGGGTGAGAGGAAGACCCCCCCAGGCCCCCCACAAAGCTCCAGGCCCACTTGTCCACTCCCATCCAGATCGCTTCAACGTCTTCCTGCTGCCCTGCCCCAACCTGGATGTGTATGGCGAGTGCAAGCTGCAGATCACCCACGAGAACATCTACCTCTGGGACATACACAACCCCCGCGTGAAGCTCGTCTCGTGGCCCCTCTGCTCACTGCGCCGCTATGGCCGGGACGCCACACGCTTTACCTTCGAGGCTGGCCGGTAGGACCCACTCACCTCCCCGCCGTCCAACCGTGGTCATGATGGCAGCTGCCATTCACTTGTGTCGGGCACTGTGCTGGAAGCTTAAGTTATTTATCAGCATAGCATGCTGAAGGGGAACCCATTTTACAGATGAAGAAATTGAGACTCACAGCAGGTAGGTCAAGTGAAGCTGTTTACCAAGTCAGACTGCTCAGGCTCTGATCAGATGCTGGCACTGGCATTGACTAGCTCTGTGATTGTGGACCCGAGTCTCAGTTTCCTCCTCTGTCAAATAGGGGATAATAAAAGTACCTAACCTCATAGATTGGGTTATGGTAAGGACTGGGTATAGCTTGAACCCTGGAGCAGCTTGCCTAGACTCAAATTCTGTATAATCCACTGTGTAACTTTCGTCGTTACCTTCTGAATGCCTCAGTTTCCTCATCTGTAAAATGGCTTGAGAAAAATTATAATAACGAGGAAACTGTAGTAGCACACAGACCAGAGTGGGGTGGTGGGGAAAATGGAATGGATTAATCCTTGTAAAGCATTTAGACCCCCACCTGGCACATAGAAAATGTTCAGCATGTTTGAGCTGGGGGGTCAGACCCTCAGATGACAGCCCTGCCTGTTCCCAGACGGGAGCCTGTGCATGTGCACACACATGGGGCATACCCACCACGTGGCTCTCGGTGCTACTTGTGTCCCCAGGATGTGTGACGCTGGGGAAGGGCTCTACACCTTCCAGACGCAGGAAGGGGAACAGATTTACCAGCGGGTCCACAGTGCCACCCTGGCCATCGCTGAGCAGCACAAGAGGGTCCTGCTGGAAATGGAGAAGAACGTGAGGGTGAGGCAGTGCGTGTCTCAGTCCAGGGTAGGGGAAGGCTGGCGGGCGGGCGGGCCGGGGGCCGGGAGAGTGGCAGCTGTCTCCAGCTGGTGTGTCCGGGAGAGGCAGGCAGGGTCTTGGGCTGGCTGCTCTGGGCTTAGCCACTGACCCTTCTCTGCCCCACAGCTGCTGAACAAGGGCACGGAACATTACTCATACCCCTGCACGCCCACTACCATGCTGCCCCGCAGTGCCTACTGGCACCACATCACAGGTTCCCAGAACATTGCTGAGGCCTCCAGCTATGCCGGTGAGTCACTGCTGGGCCCCACCGCACCGGCCAGGAGGCTCTGTGGAGGACAAGGCATGTTGGGCATGGGCCTTCTGTCCCGGGCCCAAGGCCTCAGCCTGCCTCTGTGTCCACAGGTGAGGGGTATGGGACGGCCCAGGCCAGCTCAGAAACGGACCTCCTCAACAGATTCATCCTGCTAAAGCCAAAGCCCAGCCAGGGGGGCAGCAGTGAGGCCAAGGCCCCTTCCCAGTGACGGCAGAGCTGGCACACAGATGACCACTGGGGCTGCCTGCAGCACGTCGTGGATGGCATGGAGGGGCTGTGGGCCAAGAGCCTGGGGAAAGGGAGCAAGCGGTCCCTTCTTTGCCCCCGAGGGTGAGACTGGACCAAGGCAAAGGGCTGGCCATGCCACCTGAGCATGTGTGAGGGGCTGGAGCTACCATGGGACTATATACTGTTAATGATTTTAATATATATGGCTTATTATGTATTCTGTATTAATAAGATTCCCCCTCTGACCCTCCCTGCCACCACATACACAGTTTTTAATCCCATGACCAGGCCACAGTCAAGGCTGCTTTGAATGTGAGGGCAGCGGTTTCCCTGTCCCCCATGGTACCAGCCCTCCTGCTGCCAGGACCTGAGCTGCCAGGGCCAGAGGAGGGAGACACTCCACACTCCCAGCTGCCGCGCTGGCTGCTGGCTTTTCCCAAGCAGCCCAGGGGCGGAGACAGCAGGTGGCTTCTCAGTCCCTCTGGGCCTAGAGTGGCACAGGAAGGATCCGAACTTACACTGTGCCACTTGGTAGCCTTGCACTTGGAGTTTTCAGCAGAGGTGACGTCTGGTTGACACCTCAGGTGAAAAATCTGGCTTGAAAATGGTTTCTGCCCAGACTCCTTCGTGCTTAGCAGGCTGAGGAGACGCCCTGGGGGTGGGGGGTGCTGGTGACCTCGCCCAGGGAGGACAGCCAGTGCCGGGCTCTTTCCTGCCCTCGGGCCAGGCCGGCCGCACAGGAGGACTGCGGTGAGGGGGAGTGGGGAAGCGCCCTGCTGCCCGCTCTCAGTGACCGGCGTGGGCAGTGCTCCCACAGAGGGAGCCCCTCTGCCCTGTCTGGCCTCCCTCCGGCAGCCAAAGTACTCAGAAGCCGGTCAGAGACCTCCCCAATTCCTCCTCCACATGGTGCTGAGGCTCCCTGCTGAAATGCAATTAAAGCAACTGATTTTCTAGTGCTGGTATTTACTGACGACCGTGCAGAAGGGCTATCTTTTTACTCACATCAAACCTTTGGTTGCGTGTGTGTTGGGTTGTTTTTAATATTTTAGGGTTCTGATTTGAGGGAACAGACCTTCTTGTAAATAACCATTATTCAAGTCGTGGCAGGAGGATGATAAAGCAAGAGGCCCCCCTCCGACAGAGCACTGGAGCCCGGGAGGTGGCCACAGCCCGCTCAGCTCTGACCCTGACCCAGGGAATGACCACCTAGAGGAATAAGCTAGCCTGAAGAAGGGAGCCCAAAGGCCACGGAGGGGAGGCAGAGCTGGCTGGCTTGGTTAGTGGCACGATGACGCATGAAGGCGATTACGTACGTTTTGCTCTTTATTGCCAAAAATAAAAACTTTAAAAGCCAACTACTGTTAATAAATAACCCTTCCTTTTTGTACTAGATCTCTGGTTTTCTCCAGGCTTCTCCTGCCTGGCTGCCTAATGAACTGCTTTGGGTATGTTCCTACCTATAGGGCTAAGTGGTCAAGGCCAGACCTCCATGAAGGCCCTTGCCCTCCCCCACAAATTAAATAGCCTGGCCATTGTTGGTGACGTTCAAAACTCATGGGTAGAGAACAAAATACAAGGCTTACTGGCGGGAAGAGGGGGATAGCCTGGGCCTAACACTACTCTCACAGGATTCTCAAATTAGGGACACTTGGGAATTTGAGTGAAGAACCAATAGACTGGCCGGGGCAGGGACTGGAAGGGCTGGCAGGAGCCTGAGTAGGGTCCTAGATTCAGCGCTAACACAGAAGCCTAAGGTGCAACAGTGAACATTCCAACTTGTGAACAGAAAGGATTTGAAGAACTGAAATACCCAGAAGTTGAGAGTTCACCTCAGTGGTTCTCAACAGGGGAATGCCGTGGCCCCCTGAGGCACACAGAGATACAGGGCAGAAGGGATGTTCCGGGCAGCACTACTGCCCATCAGCAGGCAGGGCCGGGGACGCTAAATGTCTGGGAAGGGACCGTCCTGCCTCCAACAGCAGTGCTGGCCCTGGTAATCTGTGACTGCGCAAGGCTGGGATGGACCTACCCTTCCCCGCTGCCACCTTTCTAATTGGTACTGAAGACTTGCCAGGAAGCTTGAGCAACAGCTGTCCAGTCCCCAGGAGCCAAGATCTGCAGTCTCAGGAGAGCCCTAAGGTTCAACTGCTGTTCTGCTGAGACAGGTGAGCTGCAGCTAGTTTATGGTCAGGACGTCACTCTGGATCTCGTGGCTTAACTGGGTCTGTAAATCACTCAGCTTCTTCTTTAATCCAGACAGGGCTGACAGGACAATGGTTTCAGGGCGCAGAGAGCCACAGGACTCCACGTTGTAGTAAAACCTGAGAGGCAAGAGTCTGGTGAGAGCCCTCCATGAGGCTCTCATGAGCTATGGCCACAGGCCTGCCTCCCTCCTGGGTCCTGACTCCTTTCTCCCCATGAACTCGACCTTGCCCCAGGGTTGACCTCCATCCAACCTCTTACAAACAGTGGTCCCAGGGCACTTTGCAGGACCTCGAGGAGGCCACGGCTACCTCAGAACAATATCTGAAAACACCTGTGTATGGATGTATTCTACACTGGGGGAAAGAGAACGGTAAGTAAGCACGTCACCTGCTCCAGCATTTTCATGTTCGTCACTAGAAGGCTCTGGTCACTTTGGGGCCCTAGGTTTGATCCTAGGTTGATCTTTCTTTGGGAGCTGAAAAATCAGACTAGGAACAGTCTGGATAACTGGAGGGCCCCCCTTCCCCCCAGCGACCAAAGTGGGATGATAATCTGCCTGGATGTGCACATACGGTGGTTCAGCAGTTACCAGCCCCTCCTCAGCTGAGGGGAACTGGGATGGGCGGGAAAGGGCCTCCCTAACTCAGAGGCTGCATCAGAACTGTACGTCCTTACACACGTTACCTTCAAGTGCCAGACCGGGCTCTTACCTCTCCGGCTTCCCATTGGGGTCGTAGGGCGCCTGCGGCTCATCCTCGTCCAGCTCTGAGTACTCACTCTTCGGCCTGAGGTCAAACAGATCACAGGTTGCTACTGCCGCTTTGAGGGCACCTGTGTCTCATAGTGAGGCTGCCCCATCTCGGTCACCAGGAGCCATTTCCACACCCGCCCACCCTGCCTGCCTTCACTCCCAGCAGGAACATACCACTCCTCCGGCTTGGGGTACACCGTGTGCCTCAGGGCATTGTCGGGATCGTATTCAAAAGCCACGCCTGCAGTCGGGTTCCACTTGGCGTGTTCCTTGCCAAAGCCCTTTTTGGCGTAGGCTCGAAGCCTCAGCTCCTGGCCCTTTCTCAGCTTGACGATGAGAATGTCTGTGGGGAGATGTGAGTCAGTCGAGGGCCAGCAGAGGCACGGCTCTCCGCGGTCCGACCTGCAGCGCCACTGAAAAGCTGGGCAGCGCAAAAGCCTGGGTCTGGTGTCCGCCCCTCGGGCCCTTACCATCCTGCTCCACGTAGTCGTTGGGGTCATTATCTCGGCTCCGGGATGTCACCTGTAGGGGCCCAGACAGAGGCACTTATTGGCTGCTGCGCATCTCCCCACGCACCCCTTCTGGCACCCACCTTCCGGCACCTCCAGACCGCAACCTGCCGAGCCGAGAAAAGGATACCTGAGGAGGAGGTGGTAGAAGTGCCTACTAGGACCCAGTCTCTGCTGGTTACTGGCCTCTAACCCCTACCTCATGGCTTTGTGACAACCTCCCCAGTCAAAACAGTACCATGGCCTTTAAAAGGGTCCTTAGTGGACAGGGCCCACAGCACCAATGCTTCTGCCCACACTGGCAAGAGTCCAGAATTATTAGCACTTCTAGGCATCAAGCTTAGGTTAAGGCAGAAGGTAACACAGAGAACGTCGGTGTCTTATAAGAATCCACCCCAATCTGGCCCACTTGGAGCCAGGAGAGCAAAGGTCCTGGGTAGGGAGGGCGTTCCTGACCGGAATGACCCGGGGGCTGTTGGAGATGAGGTCTCGAGACGTGACGTGACGCGTCTGGTCTTCGTTGCACCGCACGTCGAGGGTGAACTCCACCGAGCACTCGGGGCAGAATTCTTCACACGTACAGTCCTGAGGCAGGAAGAGAGGCAGGAGTGAGTCTGCGGAGAGACGGCGAATCCTGGCTTGGCTCCCCGCTTCTAATACCCTGTTCCTTAAGGTTCTTCATCTGGGAGAGGGTGGATCATAGCCTCCAGGCTCTCGTGGGCTGTGTCCATCTGCACACCACTCAGGCTGCTCAAGGGCAGGCGCGTCCCAGCTCAGAGACCGCCTATACGCTGGCGTCCACGTGTCCTTCCCACCCCTCGCTGCCAGGCCGCCGCTGGGAGACACACTAACATCTCACCCTGGCCTCGGAGCGCTCTTCCTCAGAGAACCAAGGCGGTAAGAAGGAAGAGGCTTTCACACTGCATAGTTCAGCGTCCCCTGAGCTAAGTGGACTAGCCTGGGAATGCAATTACCATTTAAAATAAAACAATCCAGGGAACAATAGAAAAAAGTACATTTTAAATTCCAGACTACTGACCTTTTCTTTAAAAATTTCATACGGAAATTTTTTCACAAAAGCAGCGAAGAGTGTAAGAGACTGCCACAATGTAAGCATCACTTGGCTTCAATAATTCTCACGTTTGCCATTCTTTAAACTGACTCTTGAAACACTCCCGTATTAGAGATTAGCTGCTACCGTTTAACTTCAGGCAAGACGAGAGTTAACTAGAATGTAATCAAGCAAACTGTTCTCCCCCTCACGCCAGTGAGGAAAATCCAACCTATTTTCGATGTTTTCAAGACAATGAGGAAGATCTAGAGGCCATACCTGGATAGTCTGCAATCATACACAGGTGAGACAGGAAGGCAACCTAGACCCTTGAGACTGAATCACTCACAAATATGAAATTAAAGAAGCAAATGTAATGGAAGACAAAAATATGAAAAGGTACTTAACCTCAAAAAAAAAATAATGAAAAGGGAGGAGTCTGTTCAAGAGATCAAGAGACTAAAGAGGTGTAACAACTGAATGCAATGCATGAATGACAGACCCACAAACAAAAAACAAGGAGAATTCCCTGGCGGTCCAGTGCTTAGGACTCCTCACTTTCACTGCCAAGGCCGTGGGTTCAATCCCTGGTCAGGGAACTAAGATCCCGCAAGCCACATGGTGCAGCCAAACAAAACAGTTAAGGACATTTTGAGGATAACTAGGAAAATCTGAATTTAGACTGTAGATAGATAGTACAAATCACGGCTAATTTTCCTAGGCATGATAAGTGTGGCTATGTAGGAAAATATCCTTATTTTTAGGACATGCATGCTGATGTAGCTCGGGGGAGAAATGTCATGATTTCTGCAACGTTCTTTCAGATGGTTCAGCAAAAATCACATCTATATGAAACACAAAGCAAATATAGCAAAATATCAACAACTGGAAATTACAGGTGAAAAGACAATGAGTATTTATTCTACTTTTCACTTTTCTGAAGATTTTCAGAAAAAAAAAAACCAAAAAAATGCATACCATCTTTGTTCAGTAAATGCAATACTAGAAACAAATTTAATGGAAGGAACTGTTAGGTCACGGGGGATGCATATCTTTATATAAGATACTGACTGGTCTTCAATTGGTTGTACAACTGTCTTCACCAATATATGTGATGTTTTATTTCTTAAAAACAGACTCTGGAGATGTGAAGCAAAATGCTGAAATGTTAAAATGTGACAACCGGTTTGGTGGGAGCATGCCTATTTGTTATATTAGCTCCACACTTTGCTGTGTGCTTGAACAGTTCTTTTAAAAAACACATATAAATTTACAAAATATATCAAATTAGCCACCATAAAAATGACATGCCCTCGGGAATATTAGAAAATGGGCTGATTCAGGATCACCTACAGCCATCAAGAAGGAATAGTCTCAAGCTGTTACCTAATGCAGCTCTGCTGAAAGGATGCAGGTAACCTAATCCTGTCCTACACTCTCCCTAGTTTTAAGTC